CATCCCCAGCTCCCCCTTTATTTCTGTATTTTTATTTAAAGATGAGATCTTGCTGAGTTGCTTAGGGCCTCGCTAAATTGCTGAGGCTGGCCTCAAATCCACGATCCTCCTGCCTCAGCCTCCTGAGCCACTGGGATTACAGGCGTGTATCACTACGCGTGGCTTAATTTTCTGCCTTTTTACCTTATTCCATATTTTGAGAAAATTTTTTCTATGTAGACCTAGACATATGCACAAACACGTAGATATAAATACAAATATATTACATATATATTGCCTTTTCTATTTCTATGAAGAATGTCATTGGGATTTTAATAGGAACGGCATTAAGTCTGTATAACACTTTTGGTAGTATGGTCATTACAACAATTTTTATACACATATAAATAAAATTTGACAGAACTTCAAAATTAATGGACATTTTTATGGTTTTCTTCTTTTTTTGTATCTTCTTATGCTTGGCTTATTTATTCAATATATTCTTTTCTAAAAGATCCAAGAAATAATTTATAGAATTCACAATTTATACTTATTTTATTTTTGGCACTGGGGATCTATCCCAGGGGCACTTTGCCAGTAACCCCATACCTCACCCTTTTCATTTTTTATTCTGTGGCAGGGTCTGAGTTGCTGAGGGTCTCGCTACATGGCTGAGGCTGGCCTCAATGTTGTAGTCCTCCTGTCTTGGCCTCCTGGGTCACTGGGATTACAGATGTGTGCCACTGTGCTCAACACAATTCACATTTTTAAAACCATTTTTAGTTACTGATGGACCTTTATTTATGTATTAATTTATACGTGGTGCTGAGAATTGAACCCAGTGCCTCACCCATGCTAGGCAAGCGCTCTACCACCGAGCCCCAGCCTCAGTCCCACAATTCACATTTTTAAACAGTACAATTCGGGGACTTTTAATATATTCACTGGGGCTGTAGTTCAGTGGCAGAGCGTTTGACTAGCACGTGTGAGGCACTGGGTTCTACTCTCAGCACCACATAAAAAATAGATAAAATAAAGGCATGCTGTCCATCTACTGTTACATAAAAAATATTTTTTAAAAATTCAGGTTTTGTCTCAGTGAGCTGAATCAATTTTAAAACATCTTTAATACACACCTTCCAATCCTTGCCACTCCACCCCCGTCCCCTCAGGTCCCTGCCAGCCCAAGACAGTGTTAGTCTACTAATGTGAAATCTCCTCATGGCTCTGCTGTGTCTGCCTTCAGATAACTAAGACCATCTAAGGGATAAGAAGGGACTAACAGGCCACCCTGTCCCAAGAGACCTCTACACAATAAAAAGATAAATAAGTATTGATGAGAAAAGAAGGGTGTTATAGTTCTGATATTAAATGTCCCCAGGGCCTTAGGTGGGAAAGGCGTGGCCTCTAGTCTGGGGTGCCCTTGGGAGGTGCTGACCTTGGGAGGTGGGGCCTAGTGGAAGGTCTTTGGCGCATGTCCCTTGGAACTCTAAGCCCCTCCCCCTTTGCATCTGGCCAATCTGCCGTGAATAGGTTGTCCACGCCACATGCTTCTGCCATCGTGTACTGCTATGGCACAAGCCCCAAAGTGACCATGCCAAGCACTCTTGAACTAAAACATCTCCATCTATGAGCCAAAATAAACCTTTCACCCTTTTAAGTTATTTGTCTCAGGGGTTTTGTTACAGTCAGGTAAAGCTGACTAACACAGATGGAAGAAGATACGTGTGCAACTACCACCAAAAGAAATTATATCTGACCACAGTGATATTTGGGAAAAAAAGTAAATTTAAGGACTAAAGAGTCACACAGGACAAAGAAGCATTTATTTTATTTTTTTTTTTTAGTTGTAGATGGACACAATACCTTTATTTTCTTTATTTAATATTTTTATGTGATACTGAGGATGGAACCCAGGGCCCCACACAGGTTAGCAAGGGCTCCACCTCTGAGCCCCAGCCCCAGCCCTGATTTTCTTTTCTTTATGTTTGTATCCACCACATTTTCTTTATCCACTCATCTGTTGAAGGGCACCGAGGTTGGTTCCATAGCTTAGCTTTTGTGAATTGAGCTGCTGTAGCAATCAATGTGGCTGTGTCCCTGTCGTGTGCTGATTTAAGTCCTTTGGGTATAAACCGAGGAGTGGGACAGCTGGGTCCCATGGTGGTTCCATTCCTAGTTTTCTGAGGAATCTCCATCCTGCTCTCCACAATGGTGACATCAATTTGTAGTCCCACCAGCCATGCCTGAGTGTGCCTTTTCCCCACACCCTCACCAACATTTATTGTTGCCTATATTCTTGATGATTGCCTTTCTGACTAGAGTGAGTAGTTCTGATTTGAGAGTTTTGATTCTCTAATTGATAGAGATGTTGAAAAATTTTTTATATATTTGTTAATCGATTATACTTCTTCTGAGAAGTGCCTGTTCAGTTCCTTAGCCCATTTATACATTGGATTTTTTTTTTTTTTTTGGTATTAAGTTTTTTGAGTTCTTTATATATCCTAGAGATCATTGCTTCATCAGAGGTGCATGTGGTAAAGATTTTCTCCCAGTCTGTAGGCTCTCTCCTCACATGACTGACTGTTTCTTTTGCTGAGAAGAAGCTTTTTAATTTGAATCCATCCCATTTATTGAATCTTGATTTTACCACTTGCACTTTAGGAGTCTTGTCAAGGAAGTTAGTTCCTAAGCTGACATGGTGAAGATTTGGCCTACTTTTTCTTCTATTAGGCACAGGGTCTCTGTTCTTGTGCCTGTTTTTGATCCACTTTGAGTTGAGTTTCGTGCAGAGTGAGAGTCAGGGATTTAATTTCATTTTGCTACATATGGACTTGCAGTTTTCCCAGCACCATTTGTTGAAGAGGCTATCTTTTCTCCAACGAATGTTTTTGGCACCTTTATCTAGTATGAGATAACTGTATTTATATGGGTTTTTCCTCTGTACCTTCTATTCTGTACCATTGGTCTATGTGTCTGTTTTGGTGCTAATACCATGCCGTTTTTGTTACTGTGGCTCTGTGGTATAGTTTAAGGTCTGATATTGTGATGCCACCTACTTCACTCTTCTTGCTGAGGATTGCTTTGTCTATTCTGGGTCTGTTATTTCTCCAAATGAATTTCCTGATTGCCTTTTCTATTTCTATGAAGAATGTCATTGGGATTTTAATAGGAATTGCATTAAATCTGTATGATGCTTTTGGTAGTGTGACTATTTTGACAATATTCCGCCTATCTAAGAGCATGGGAGATCTTTCCATCTTCTAAGGTCTTCTTCCATTTCTCTTTTTAGTGTTCTGTAGTTTTGATTGTAGAGGTTTTTCACCTCTTTTGTTAGGTTGATTCCCAAGTATTTTATTTTTTTGAGGCTGTTGTGAATGGGATAGTTTTCCTGATTTCCCTTGCAGTGAATTCACTGATGTTTAAGAATGTGTTTGATTTATGGGTGTTGATTTTATATCCTGCTACTTTGCTGAATTCATTCGTTAGTTCTAGACATTTTCTGGTGGAATTTGGGGGATCTTCTAAATATAGAATCAAATAGTGATAGCTTGAGTTCTTCTTTTCCTATTCCTATCCCTTTAATGTCTTCATCTGTCTGATTGCTCTGTCCAGAGTTTCAGGACTCTGCTGCAGAGAATTGTTGGAAGAGGCATCCTTTCTTGTTCCAGTTTTTAGGGGTAATGGTTTCAATTTTTCTCCATTTAGAATGACATTGGCCTTGGTCTTAGCCAATACAGCTTTTTTTTTTTTTTTAATATTTTCTTTTTTAGTTGAAGTTGGGCACAATACCTTCATTTTATTTATTTTTATGTGGTGCTGAGGATTGAACCCAGGGCCTCACACATGCAAGGTGAGCGCTCTACCGCTGAGCTAAAACCCCAGCCCCGCCTATGTAGCTTTTGCTGTGTTGAGGTATGTTCTTACTATCCCTAGTTTTTCTAGTGTTTTGAAGATGAGGGGTGCTGTATTTTGTCAAATGCTTTCTCTGCATCTATTGAGATAATCATAAGATTCTTGTCTTTAAATCTATTGATGTGATGAATTACGTTTATTGATTTTCCTAGGTTGAACCAGCCCTGCATCACTGGGATATGAACCCCACTGGATGATAGGGACTATCTTTTAGATATGTTTTTGTATGTGATTTGCCAGAATTTCATTGAGAATTTTTGCATCTGTGTTCATCAGGAATAGTGGTCCGAGTTTTTTTTTTTTTTCCTTGATGTGTCTTTGTCTGGTTTTGATGAGATGATGATAGTTTGATTTGTCTTTGCTACTATTTTTTAAAAATATTTTTCTAGTTGTAGATGGACACAATACCTTTACTGGTTGATTTTTATGTGGTACTGAGGATTGACACACCTGCGAGGCGATCGCTGTATCGCTGGGCCACAACCCCAGCCCTGGGTCTGCTACTCTTATGTGTTGCTTCAGAACCGAGCATGTGTTATTTTTGCAATGTGAATCTTTATTTTATAAAAGGAAACAATAATAAAGTGGGAAAAATTCTCTGAAAAAGATAATTGAGAACCCTGTGGTTAAAAAAAAAAAAATGATCCAGAGACCGGACACCTATAATCCACAATAAGATAAAGGACCGGGCACTCTCTGGCCTCCCCCCAAACAGTGGGCGGGACTCTTGGTCAGGCACAGGTGGTCCTAGAGTCTCCAGACTTCTTTGCAATCAGGAGGGAGGGAGGGGTCCTGGGATCTTCCCCTTAGACTGCACTGCGATGGGACATGCAGAGTTTGGAAGTCCAGTCTTTCCTACAGAGGGCTTTATGCAAACTTCCCTAAATGCAACAGAGCCATCTGCCGTCCCCTAGACTCTGCTAACCAGGTGGAGAGTATTAGTTGGGGGATCTGCATAGAGGCCACCTCTGGGCGGCAGCACCCCAACCAGGAGGTCCCGCGAGGGGCTTCCAACCTCCAGACTGCAGGGGGATGAAGGCTGAGACCAGCGCGTTCCTCAAAGGCTGCCCAGGTTGACGGGCGGCCTAGTCCGCATGTGCAGGGCAATGCGGGGGCTGGGCGGGGAGGGCCTGGGCGGCCCAGGGGGCGGGGCGAAGGCGGCCCAGGGGGCGGGGCGAAGGCGGCCCAGGGGGCGGGGCGAGGGCGGGGTGAACGGCCGCCCCCAGGCCCGGGGCCAGTGCGGGGCGTGTGGAGTTTGGGCCGCGTTCGCCGCTCGGCCGCAGTTCGGGTGCCGCCGCCACCCTCGTCCAGGTTCCTACGTAGACCCGGCCCCGTCCGGCCGGAGTGAGAGCGAGGCCCTGGAGCAGCCACCGTCCCCACCACCGCCGACACTGGCGACGGCGGCGCAGACATCGCCGAGGATGGGGAAAATGAGTGTCCCCAACCGTCGCCTAGCCAGCGTCCGCGGTGTGCCCGTGTCATCGCCTCCCGGGCGCCGCGCCCGCCTGTCGTCTCCCGGGACCAGCCAGCAGCCCCCTGAGGCCCGGGAGGAGATGCGGCGCCGCGTCAAGAACCTCATCGAGGGGAGCCGAGTGATGATCTTCAGCAAGACCTACTGCCCGCACAGCTCCCGGGTAGGCGGCCGGCCGAGGGAGGGCCGCGGGGAGACGGAGGGGCGCAGGGGGCGGGGCCTAAGGGGAGGGGCGGGGCCTCGGGAGGGAGGGCCACCGGGCCTGGGCATTGGGCGGAGCTTAGGGTTGGGGGCGGGGCCTCGGGAGCTTGGAGCCAAGCCTGGCTGAGTCCTGGGACCTGGAACTGGGACTGCTGCCTGCTGCCTGCTGGTCACCCGCTTGTCCTAGCTCTGCTGGCTTTGAACTTGATGTTGGCTGGCTAAAAATGTGTATCAAGACAGGAAAAAAAATAATTTTTAAATAAAGTTTTGTCTTGATAAAAATGGTGGTGAAAACCGAGGGAACGACCTCGGAGTCCGCAGAGCAGAATTCAGATCCCACTGATAAACTGGGTGACCTTGACCCTGTTCCAGAGCTGGGCAGAAGCTGCCTTTCCACATCTTGTATAATGATGGTAAAGGAAGGTTGTGAAGAGGATTAAAAAGTCAGGGGTAACTTTAAACTCTTCTGCACGTGAACTTTGGGGCTGGGTAGGCTCTCAGCGTTATTTCTAGGGTTAACTCTACTGTTAAGGGTAACCCACTTAGAAATGGGCCTTTGGAAGATAACCCACCTGTAAAGTAGGGTCTCTGAACATTTTGAAATTTATTTCACATTAGCAGAAAGATGAAATAATGAAAGTTGGAAGATAATATGCAAAGCCCTGAACTCTTGGGTCAGGCTCATGAAATGATAAGCTATTATTCAAATTCGAGGTTACATTGAGGTATATCTATAGTTTCTTAGAACCTGTATTCATGCATATCAATTTTAAAGAGTAATAAAATGATTTGAGTGGCTTGGAAGCCGCCCCACCCCAAGGTTAACCACCTACTACTCTTCTTTACCGTTTCCTCTGCATATATATGTCATTAAACAATATTTTGTTTCTTTTGGCCTGTTTGGGGACTTTAAGCAGAATCACGCATGGATTCTTTTGCAGTTTTTTCCTTCAATGTGTGTTTTCAAGATTCATACATGTTACTACCTGTCCTTGCGGCTCATTAATTTTTATTACTGTGCCATTCCATAGGGTGAATCAGACCATAGGATTAGATTATGCTGTTTCTGGTATTTTGTTCTTAAAAACAATATGTATGCCTATTCTTGGACATACCTCCCATGCGCACATATAAGACTTAATTCTAGGGTATCTTAAAGCTGAATTGGTGGGCCATAGAGGATGCATGAAATCACACACGTTACTAAGGTGATGCACAATTGCTCCTCCAAGTGGTTATACCGGCTTGCCCTCCTGGTAGTATATAATAGTTTCTTTCAGTCTGAAGCTTTGCTAACTGCTGAGATTTAAAATTTTTGCTATTCCTGCAGTTACGAAGTGGCTTGAATTTTACATTTCCTTGATGAAATTTACATGTTTATGGTTCATTTGAATTTCTTCTTCTAGGAAACGGATTGGGTCTTTTGCTTATTTTTCTACTGAGTTGTTTTGTTTTGCAGATTTGTAGACCTTCATTATATGTTTTGCATACTAACCCTTTGGGTATGTATATGTGTATATATACATTCATATATGACTTTTTATTTTTCTTTCTAAGGGATATTTTGGTCCAGTGAAGTTTGCAAGTTGAATGTAGCTGAACCTATCATTTTTTTTCCCTTTATAGTTTGTTCTTTTTGGGTCTTTATTTTGTTTTTGTTTTTGGCACCAGGGATGGAACCCAGGGGTGCTTTTTCCACTGAGCCACATCCCCAGCCCTTTTTATGTTTTATTTTGAAACAAGGTCTTGATGAGGTGTTTAGGACCTCACTAAGTTGCTGAGGCTGGCTTTGAACTGGAGATCCTCCTGCCTCAGCCTCCCCAATAACTGAGATTACAGGAATGTGCCACTGCACCTGGCTGAAAATTCTCTGATTTTTGAAACATCATTCCTGCGTTAATTTTAATTCATGTTTCTTCACTCTCGATTTCACACACTTTAAAATTCTCTTCTTCTCTTGGTTAGCTTATAAAACACATTGTGGTAAAACACATGCCACATAAAATTTATAATTGAAACCATTTTTAGGAGTAGAAGTCAGTGACATTAAGAACATTTGATTGCTGGGTGCAATGGCACACACCAGTAATCCCAGCAGCTTGGGAGGCTGAGGCAGGAGGATGGCAAGTTGGAGGCCAGGCTTAGAAACTCAGCGAGGCCACAAGTAACTCAGCAAGACCCTGTGTCTAAATAAGATATAAGCACCCATGGGTACAATCCCTGGGACAAAATTAGAAAACAAAATTCACAGTGTTGTACAATGATCACCCTCCATATCCAGAAATTTTTCAACTTTTTCAAATGAAATTCTATACCCATTGAATGTTAACTCCCATTCCTCTTCCCCAGCCATTGGTAACCATCCTTCTACTTCCTGTGTGTGAATTTGACTACTTTGATTACCTCATCCACAAATCATGCAGCGTTTGTTTCTTGTGTCTGGCTTATTTCCCTTAGCGTCATATCTTCCAGATCCATCCATGTTGTAGCGTCTGTCAGAAGACAGGACCAGTAAAACTCCACATTATGTACAACCACAAAAATGGGATCCTGATTCGGATAGGTCATGCTCCATGACTGTACTTATATATAAAAAGAACAAATAAAAAATTTAAAAAAGAATTTCTTTCCCTTTTTAAGACTGAACAGTATTCCATTGTAAAAAAAAAAAAAAAATAGAGCACATTTTGTTTGTCCATTCAAGCATTAGTGGACAACCTGAGTGGCCTCTACCTTGACTATCGTTGATAATCTGACAGTGAACGTAAGCATATAGGTGTTTGTTTCAGTCCCTACTTTTAGTTCTTTTAGGTACCTTCCTAGAAATGGAATTGCTGACTTATAAGGTCTTCGTGTTTTCAATGTTTTGTAGAACACTGTTTTACATTTCTACCAACAGTGCACAGGGTTCCAATTTTGCCACATCTTCTTTAACACTTGTTAGTTTGTGTGTGTGTGTGTGTGTGTGTGTGGTTTTCTTAAAGCAATAGCTATCATGATAGATGAGGTGGTATGTCATCGTGGTCTGATTTGCATTTCCATAAAGATCAGTGAGGTTGAATAGTCTGTGCTTATTTCCCATTGGTGTATTTTCTTTGGAGAAATATCTATTCAAGTGCTTTGTCCAAGTGCTCCGTTTTAAGTTGTGTTTAAAGTTTTTTGTTACTAAGCTTTAGAAGTTCTCTGTATCATATAGGGTGTGATCCTTTAGGTAGGTCACTGTAAACCATCTGTGAAGCTGCTTGGCTGCCTTTTTTAGTGTCCTTTGCTGCTCCAAACCTTTTGTGTTTTGTGAGATCAAATTTGTCTGTTTTCTCTTCTGTTCCTTGTGCCTTTGATGTTATATCCACATCCAATATCTTTGCCCTGTGTCTTTTTTTATTTTTCATTATTTATTTATTTATTTTTTGTCCAGGGACTGAACCCAGGGGTGCTTAACCACTGAGCCACATCCCCAGCCCCCCCTTTTTTAAAAAAAAAAAATCCCCTTTTAATATTTTCTTGATTGTCAGTGGACCTTTATTTTTTTTATTTATATGTGGTGCTGAGAATCAAACCCAAGGCCTCACACGTGCTAGGCAAGTGCTCTACCACTGAGCCACAACCCCAGCCCTTTTTATTTTCTATTTTGAGACAGGGTCTTGCTAAGTTGCTGAGGCTGGCTTTGAACTCACTATCTTCCTGCCTCAGCCTGCTCAGCCACTGGGATTACAGGCCTGTGCCACTTTGACCAGCTACTGACTTCTTCTAATAGTTTTCTGGTTTTTAGCTCCTACATTTAGGTCTCTGCTCCATTTTGAGTTCGTTTCTGTACTTGGTTTTAGGTCAGGGTTCAGTTCCATTCTTTTGCTTGTGGATAGCCATTTCCTTGGTACCAGTTGTTGGAGACCGTACTTTCTCTTTTGGACGGTCTTGGCACCCTTGTCAAAAATCAAGACTCTATTCCAGAACTCTCCATTCCCTTCTCTTGCTCTGTGGGTCTGTATTCAGGTCAGTCTCCTTATGTTTGATCACTGTAGGTTTGTGGTAAGTTTTGAAATCAAGAAGCAAGAGATGTCCAGCTTTCAAGATTTCATTTTTTGTGGGGGCGGGGGTGTGCTATATAGGACTCCCTGAGGTTCCATCTGAATTTTAGGAAAGATTTCAATTTTTGAAAAAAGAAACATCATTGAGATTTTTGGTAGGGATTGCATGGAGTCTGTAGCTTGCTTGGTGTATTATTGACAACAACTTAAAGTCTTCTAATCCTTGAAACACAAGATGTCTTCCTATTTATTGGTATCTTTTATCTCTTTCAGCAGTAGTTTGTAGTTTTTAGTGTATAAGTCTTTACCTTCCTTGGTTAAGTGTATTCCTAAGCAGTTTAATTCTTTTCATGCCGTTGTTAATGGAATTCTTAATTTCCTGGTTGACTCATCCATCATTAGTATATGGAAAATAACTAGTTGTCATGACTTTGTGCCCTGCAAGTTTGCTGATTTTGTACATCCTAACAATGTCGATGTGTATGTGTCTTTGAAATCTTCAAGTTTTGAACATATAAGATTATGCTGCTTGTGAACAGAGATAATTTTACTTCTTTTCCAATTGGGACAAGAATTTGTTCGATTCGTTTTTCTTGCCTTATTGCTGTGGCTAGGACTTTCAATGCTATGTTGAAATAGAGTGGCGAAAGCAGGCTTCCTTTCTGATCTTAAAGGAAACATTATCAATATTATGCTATCATGTGTGATGCTACTTGTGGGAAGAGCTCTGGAGTTCTTTGCTCTCATGGTCTGTATCTCCACTGGGCCAAAACTCTGAGGTCTTGTTTAAGAACTAGGAGGAGCATCTGGACACAGTGGCACACACCTGTCATCCTGGTGGCTCAGGAGGCTGAGGCAGGAGGATCGAGAGTTCAAAGCCAGCCTCAGCAACAGGCAAGGCCCTAAGCAACTCAGTGAGACCCTGTCTCTAAATGAAATACAAATAGGGCTGGGGACGGGGCTCAGTGGTTGAGTGCTCCTGAGTTCGATGCCTGGTATCTGCCCCACCACTACCCCAAAAGGATCCTGGGAGTGGGGACGGGGACTGATGAGCAGGACTCTATAAGGGGATTTCTTTTTGGCTTGCCTTTCCCAGCTGGGGACTTTACCTTACAGGTAAACTGTGATGGTGGGGATCATGGTCCCAGTATTTCCCTTCTGCCACTGCTGGGGTATGTGGCTTTTGATCTCAGTGGGGCCAATGGAGCACTGAGCCTTAGTGACTCAGAGTGAGAGGTGGGCAGGGGGTGAGAGGTGCTGGTGGCCTGCTATTCTGAGAGATATTGGGAACTTGTTTTCTAGGCCACACTTCAACTGGGGTTCCCACCAGGCTGGCCTTGGGCAGGGGAGGGAGGGAGGAGGAGGATGTACAGCTCAGGGGCGGACTCTCCCTGCTGTTACTGAGAGTTAATTGATTTCCTTGCATAAATGTTTCTTCATTTGCTGAAAGCTCTTAGGAAATTTCCAGAGCCTGTGAAAATGATTTTCGCAGTTGCACATGTGTTCCCAGTAGGCCAAGGGCTCTGGGTTCAGTTCAGATGGAAATCACCAGCAGGCAAATACAGCTCTCTTACCATTAGCAGCAGCTCTCCCCGTTCTCTTGTAGCAGCTCCAACTAACAGCTCCTCCTGCGGCCCGAGCTAGCAGCTCACCCGGCCGCCTTACCTGCAGCTCCCAGAAGCTCGCATTCTCATAGTCACCCTCTGTCACCAGTTCTCACTTCTGGCCACTTTGAGTGCCAGCAGCCTTTAGTGTTAACAGCTCTTCCTGGATCTGGCTCAGCCTACTCTGCTCCAGGTGGACATCATGAATGGGCAAAACAAAACCCCCTGGAAGGGTTTGTTGGGACTTAGGGGAAGCAGTACAGACTGAGCTCGTGGAGGGTGGGAGGAGGGCTGTGTGTATGGACAGAAAGGACAAGGTTGGGCATGTACACAGTGTCCTGCCTGCTGTTTTTTTGCTTGGTCATGTGTAGGGGACAGGCTCCTCATGAACCAGAGTGAGGCCATCTGAAGCAGCCTCAGAGGGGCGCCGTCATCCCACCAGGCTGACCACAGTGTGTGCAGGGCCTCTAAGCTGCATATTCTTTAGCAGCAGCCAGGAAGCATGTGCAGAGGCCAAGCTGTCAGGATGGCGGCTTAGCTGGGCGGCCCATGAGGTGGCCACTGGGCAGTGTGCTCCCTGGTGGTGGGAGCCCCTGAACAGCCAGTGTGGGGTGGGGACACCGTGGCTATCAGCCAAAATACAGTGCATGTGTCAAGAGCAGAATGGAAAAAACACCTTTGGGTTGGCAGGTTGGGCCTCTGTGTCTTCTCACACGTTTGGCCGTGGTGGAGTGGACCTTCTGAGTGGAAGTGGGACCTCTGGGTTTTGTGTAAAGTGCTGAGAGCGCTGAAGGGTTTTGATGGGTTTTGTTGTTGTTGGTACTGATGGTTGAACCCAGGGGCACTTGATCCCTGAGCCCCATCCCCAGCCCTATTCTGCATTTTATTTAGAGACAGGGTCTCCCTGAGTTGCTTAGGGCCTTGCTAAGTGGCTGAGGCTGGCCTCCAACTTATGATCCTCCTGCCTCAGCCTCCCGAGCATGGATTATAGCCATGAGCCAGCACACTTGGCTGCACTAAAGGGTTTTAAGGAATGTGGCACAAAGCGGGTTTGAAGAGGTCACTTTGACTGCCATTTTGAAAACCAGAGGGGACAACGCTGGTGCAGGGAGAACTTTTGGGATATTACTGAGAAATTCTATTAGTAAATATTGATGTCTCATACTAAGATATCAACTGTGGGAAACTAAGAAGATGAAGCAGTTCAAGATGGAGAATTCAGACTTAGTAATTACTGTAATATGGTGGGTGGGAGCGAGTTTGGGCCTGGACCGATGTTGCCCAGTGACTCCTTTGCAAAGTCGTTCCAGTGCCACGTTGGCTCCAGGTCCTGATCCTGTGTGTCCAGGGGACACCCATGCTGTTGTTTTCCTGTCCCCTGTCGCAGCAGCAGTCTCTGGGGTTTCTTATTTACACCAATGATGAACCATGCCTGTTTCCCCTACTAGAGGGCCGCCACCGTGTCGTGTCCATCTCTGTGTCTCAGTGACTTAGAACAGCAAATGACCCGTCCTGGGTAGGTTGGGAAGAAGGCGAGTTGCTTTTGGAGGATGGTGCCTTTGGGACATCCTGGTGTCAGAAGAGAGATTTGAGCACAAGTTGCAGATTTGGGAGTTGTTATAGTGGGGCTGTGGGGTGTCCCTAGAGCCCCCCTGGGAGGTGACACAGGAAGGTCCAGAGGAGGAATGAGGGGTGTGAGGCCTGAACCCTGGCAGAAAATGGCTCCCTGGGGTCCCCTGGTGGCCCCTGGAGGCAGGTGGGGTGTGGTGGTGGAGGTGGCCCTAGGGCCATGGCTTGAGATCCCTAATTGTCCCTGGAGAGTGGAGTCTCTGCTCCCTGGTCCCCATGGGAGCTGCTCCCTCCCCACACTCTTCCTCCATGATGTCCTGCCTCCCCTCGGCCAGGAGTGGGGCCACCATCTGTGGACTGGGACCTGGGACACCCTGAGCCCCAAGTCAACCTGTCCCCCTCTGCAGTTGTGCTGGTGAGGTCTTTTAGTCACAGCAGCGAAAAGCTGACTAAAACAGGAGTCATAAGGAGACAGATATGTCAAAAGAGGGCACGGGGAGGGTTGAGGTTATTCTGGGAACTTGTGTAGTAGCAAGGGTAAAAAATTGGTCAGGGGGCTGGGGCTGGGGCTCAGTGGCCGAGCAGTACAGCAGAGCACAGGGTTCAAGTCTCAGCACCACATACAAAAATAAGCAAATAAAACACAGGCACACTGTCTATCTACAACTAGAAAAATAAATTAAAAAACAACAGGCCCAACTCCTATTCCCAAACAACGTTGTTTTGGACATCTCTTATTCTTCTGCCATATTTCCTAACTTGTTGAAACAGGTGGATCTTTGTTACAGGTGAAAGAACTCTTTTCTTCTCTGGGAGTCGACTGTAACATCTTGGAACTTGATCAAGTTGGTAAGTAGATAGTTAGTGCACCGTGTTGTCTGCAGCGCACGCCAGCAAGATTGACTTCTTCCCCTGGGCTTGGTTCAGTTCAATTTGCTCTTGTCTCTTTGGGTGAGATGAGCCAGTTTTGTGTATGTTCAACCAAGCAGAAAATGAGTCCTTATGTGACAAATCATTTGGTGTAGATTTTCTTATTATATGTTTTTCATATTTGAGGGAAGGGAGTGGGAGGAAAATATGTAAGCTGCTTACTTGGAATATTTGAGGTATTTCAAATGGATCTGCCAACTCGACAGCAAAATAGCTGAATCTGTGATGAATGAAAGAAATAGACTTCCTCTTCCTGGTTGTGTCACCCACGGAGGGGAGCACATGGAGCTTTTCGTTTTATACTTTAGACTCCTTGGCATCTGTGCGTTTGATTCATTGAACACTTTGCACATGGGGTGCTTGGCAGGGTTGGGGACAGTCATGATCAGAAAATACCTGATCTCTGTCTTCATGAAACTGGCTATTTCCTCCATGTCACTGTGGGAAGTGAAATATTCTTGAATCTTTTGGGTTTTTTTGGTACTGGGGATTAAACCCAGGGGTGCTTAACCACTGAGCCCTGTCCCCAGCTCCTTTTATATTTTATTTAGAGACAGGGTCTCACTGAGTTGCTGAGGGCCTTGCTAAGTGGCTGAGGCTGGCCTCGAACCTGCGATCCTCCTGCCTCAGCCTCCTGAGCTGCTGGGATGACAGATGTGCACCACCCCACCCAACACACTTTTGAATCTTTAGGTTTCTCTGCAGAGTACACCACATGCGGCAATCTTAGATAGTCTTGGCCCACTTGTATTTTCAGCAATGGAGAGTCTATTTTAGTCTATGCTCGTACACATTTCCAAATGTAATCATAGGAAATTTTTTTCTGAGTTGGAACAATAGAGAGGATTCTTATAATTGTCGAATTATAAATCAAAAGCTAATTCGGGGGCTGGAGTTGTGGCCCAGTGGCATAGCACTTGCCTAGCATGTGTGAGGCTAAGCAACAAAACTGACCCGGTTCGATTCTCAGCACCATATAAAAATATATAAAGTTATTTTTAAGACGATTTTTAAAAAGCTAATTTAGAAGGCTTTTTTTTTTTTTTTTGGTACCAGGGATTGAACTCAGGGTCACTCAACCCCTGAGCCCCGTCCCCAGCCCTGTTTTGTATTTTATTTAGAGACAGGGTCTCCCTGAGTTGCTCAGGGCCTCGCTGTTGCTGAGGCTGGCCTCCAATTTGAGATCCTCCTGCCTCGGCCTCCCGAGCCACTGGCATTATAGGCATGTGCCACACTGTGCCTGGCAGAAGGCTGTATTTTATTTTATTTTTTTAGTAGTAGGTAGATACAATACCTTTATTTTATTTATTTATATTTTATGCTGTGCTTAGGATCCAACCCAGTGCTTCACACGTGCTGGGCAAGCGCTGTACCCCTGAGCCCCAGCCCCAGCCTCTATTTTTAGAGGGATCGGTAGATTGATCTTTAGGTTCCCAAGGTTTTCTCTGGAGTCAACATTTCATGAAGTCATGAACACATGACAGATGTGTCACCTGTCCCAGATGTGTCCCTGTGAGCACTGTAGTGCTGTGACCCTTCAGTTTGATTTACTTGGCACCATTGACACAGGGTCTCTATTGAACTTTTTATTCTCTAGATGATGGGATCCGTGTTCAAGAAATGCTGACAGAAATCACTAATCAGAAGACCGTGCCCAACATTTTTGTGAATAGAGTGCACGTGGGAGGATGTGACAAGACTTTCCAGGTAAGCCCTCCCTGCCTCTCGTCCATGTTCTGTTCTCAAACGCATTTAAAAGAGGAGGAAATGGCTTTTAGAAGTCTTTTTACTTGGTCATTTTGAAGTTGTAAAGTGGGAAATCCCTTGGATGGTTATCAGCTAACCCTGATGACTTTACAGGAGATGAGCTTTTCTACCGACCTGAATTCAGGAGCAAGAAGGAGAACATTCTGAATGAGGTTACCAGGCCAGAGAGGTGTGTCCCCCTGGGGCCAGGACAGGTCTGCTCCTCCTCCTGGGGAGAGAAAGGAAGGCTGTTCCCCTGTAAAATGAGGTCAGCGCCATCAGTCTTGTCTAGGATCATTAGAATTCTTGGCAAGGCCGCTGACCCTGGGATGACTAATTTGTTCAGGGCCATTGACATGGACTTTCTCATCCGTAGGGGTGGAGAGCTTGCCTCGCATGCATGAGGCACAGGGTTCCATCCCCAGCACCACATACAAATAAATAAATTAAATAAAGGTACTGTGTGCATCTACAACTAATATACATATGTATATTAGTCGTAGATGTTATATATGGATTATTTTTATTTCTAAAATGCATGAAATGGACAGGAGTCCTTCTGTTAGGTAGTAATCGATAAAAAATTGATATTTATGGGGCTGGGGATGTGGCTCAGGGGTAGAGTGGTTGCCTTGAATGCACAGGCAGGCCCTGCATTGGATCCTTTGCACCACACACACAATTAAAAAACAATCCTTATTTTATAATTAGTTTATTAATTAAAATTCCATTCTCTTTTGTGCATGTATGCAAATGTTAGCCACCAGTGATTGACTAAATACTGATTTGAAATCTTTTTTTTTAAAGAGAGAAAGAGAAAGAGAGAGAGAATTTTTTAATATTTTTTTTTTTTTTTTAGTTTTCGGTGGACACAACATCTTTATTTTTTATTTTTGGTGTGGTGCTGAGAATTGAACTCAGCGCCCCGTGCGTGCCAGATGAGCACGCTATCGCTTGAGCCACATCCCCAGCCCCTGAGTTGAAATCTTAATTAAGAATTATATTTTGGTTGGGAAAGAAATGATTGTGTGCATTGCATGTGAATGGGCGATCCGTGTCATTATGTAACAGCATGCTTTATTAGTTCTAGAAGTTGCCACCCAGTGCACAAGGTGGTGAGTGCTGTCATTACTGCCCCTACGCACGTTCGGAGCTGGCCTCGGCAGTCCCCACCCGGATTATGGTGTCAGAGATTGGGCCTGGGGGGACCCAGAGAGCAGACCTGTTTCAGAAACAAAAGGCTTCTTCTTGGGTAGCACATCCTAACTGGTTCCACCCTACTTGAGCAGCACGCAGAGAAATGTCAGTTCCAACTTTAGATGAGTGGTAGATCTGTTGGCCCCAAGACTTTTTGTAAATGAAATCGATGCCGATTGAACACTGAACACAGGGTGCAGGTAAAGAGCTTTGAGATGGATTTCCCTGAGCACTTCAAAAAGTAAGGAGGCCGGTGGAGCTCTTCTTAGGATGTTTACAAGCCATCGTGGGCGCACATCCTTTATTGGCCACATAGCATCTGGCAGATCCCTGAAGTTATGAAATGAGCACTCTTGTCCCTCTCAGGAAGGGCTGGTTTGAGCTTGTCATTTCTAAAGCTGAGCTTGGAGGATTGGGCAATTGATTTGGCATAGAGAAGGCTTGCTGAGTCACGTATCAGACTCTCACCTCCTCTGAACTGCTTCTGACCACTACACAGGCCACAGGAGCAAGCAACTATGGTACAGAACCAGTGTCGTGATCCTTATGGAAAGAAAAATTTGCAAGGGATTTGTTTTGTATAGGAAGTTCACAAGTATAGCTATAAAATTTAGACAGATGTATAAGAAATCAAGAAAAAATTGCTGGTAATGTGTAACATTTTAAAACAAAGACTGGCACAGACCGGGCACGGTGGTGCATGCTGGTTACCCTAGTGGATCAGGAGGCTGAGGCAGGAGGATTGCAAGTTAGAGGCCAGCCTCAGCAACTTAGCAAGGCCCTGTCTCAAAATAAAAAGGGATGTGGATGTGGCTCCATGGTTAAGCACCCCTGGATTCAGTCCCCAGTACCAAAAAAGAGAGAGAGACAGACACATTAGCACAGAGAAACAAGGATCTTGAAAAGTGATGCTTGGTTATTCCACTGCACTTGACCCTGTCTGCCATACGGACAAGGCCACAGCCCTCTTGGCCATTTGACATGTGCTGCCTATCTGGTAGTAGGTCACAACACACATTCTAACCACTTGGACTCTACTTGACCAACACGCAGAGAAATGGGCAGTCCTGCCTTGGGTGAATCGTAGGCCTGTTGGCCCTGAGATTGTCTGTGGGTGAAATCCTTGCCGACTGAACACAGGGTGTGAGCACACAGCTCTGGATCGTGAAGTCACGCAGTGTTCCTTCTCCTCCTGCTCAAACACAGGCACATCACAGCGGGCTGTTACAGAAGCTCCTACAGGAAGGCTCGGCAAATGATTATGATCTCATTGTCATTGGTGGTGGTTCTGGTGGCCTCTCGTGTGCAAAGGTACGAACACAAACAAACAAACAAAAAAAAAACAAGGTGCTCTTGGAGGTGATCTTTCCTGGCCATTGACATAAGCATCTCGTCTGCTAATTGTTTTAAACAAAAATATTTAATGTTAACATCACAATCTTAAGCTTTTATTTTATCAGCCATTTTCATTCAGGGAAAAGACCATGTTATCCCAGAAAAACAGACTGTTTTTATTTGGGGGATGAGAGAATTTTTCTTTACTTGATTTTACTTCTTGCACTTTAAATATAGTTGTTGTTGTTGTTGTTGTTTTTGTAGGAAGCAGCCATTTTGGGAAAGAAAGTCATGGTCCTGGACTTTGTGGTCCCTTCCCCTCAGGGCACATCCTGGGGTAAGCTGTGTGTTCTCTGATCTTTCCGTGCATCGTTTTATACGTGTGACGCCTCTTAGTCCCACAGGAAGCTCAAGAGCTGAAGTAGTCCCTTCCATAATCGAGGAGGCCAAGTCTCAGGTCATCGGTCATCGGTGGTGACAGTGCAAAGATAGATTGAGGGAAATTTTGCAAATTGAAAAAAATTCCTCCCACTTTAATGTTTACCCAGTGACCACAGTGTGTGATCTATGGCCTGGTCACCTGAGTTGCCATAAACATTTTTGTGGGTGTTTCTGCACCAATGTCATAATTGAGTTGAGTGGCCACACAATAAGTCAGTGGCATTAGGTTCCATGGTCATCACAGCTTAGTTAAGTAAGGGACACGATATGGTCCCCGCCCTAGGACTGGGTGCTATAGGCAGAGTGGTCACCTGCCAGGTTAGTTTTCCTCTCTGTCAAACAGAGCACATAGGCTTTGTGCTGGGTGTTTTCTGTCTATACCGTGTGCTCCTTCCGTCTCTGCCCTGCTCTGTGCCCAGAGGACGGATCAGTTGGTGGCCTGGCCCTCTGGCTTCTGGTCAGGGTTGGCCAGTTTGCTGTAATGAGGGACAGCAGAGCAGAGTGGAGCTGGGGTCCTTATGGCTCTGGCTCCTCCATGCCAGTCACTGGGGCTGCCTTCCTTCTTCCCGGAAGGCCACCTCTGTCAGGTGGGTGACACCCTCTGGGTCAGGCACTCACTCGGTCTTCCTGCCCTACACACGGACTGCTTTCCTGGTTAGGGTGCTGTGCTGTTCCTTCTTGCTCTTCCAGCCCACATCTTGTAATAACTTCTTTATGAACATTCTAGAATTTTCTAGAACCCTGATGCTAAAATGCAAAAGTCACTTTTAACATTGAAGCTGGCTCAGAACCTTTCAGCCTACAGTTTCACATAGTGAAACAAGGGAGCTTGTTTCTCCTTCTGATATTCTTGTGGTGTGCATGCAGTTGTGTCTTCCTCTCTTGTTCTCTCTCCCTCTCTCTTTGCCTTCTCTTGTTTCTGTTCAGTTCTGCGTGTTTTAATAACACTGTGCAGGTGTTATTTGAAATCACACACACACACACACTCGCACCCACACCCCCTGTTCCTTTCTTTCCCAGGCCTTGGTGGCACTTGTGTGAATGTTGGCTGTATTCCTAAGAAACTGATGCACCAGGCTGCCCTTCTAGGACAGGCCTTGCGGGACTCAAGGAAATTTGGCTGGGAGTATAACCAACAGGGTGAGTAATGATTTATGAAATGTAGATGGGGAGGGAAAAGATGTAGGTTTCTTAGATATGTGCTATTTTTATAGTTGAGCTTGAAAATCATTTGATAAGCATTTATTAGAAGCCACACTCCTGTCATCTCAGCAGCTCAGGTGGCTGAGACAGGAGGATTGCAAGATGGAGGCCAGCCTCAGCAACTTAGTGAGGCCCTGAGCAACTTGGTGAGACCCTGACTCTAAATAAAAATGTTAAAAGGCTGGGGACGGGACTCAGGGGTTAAGTGTCCCTGGGTTCAGTCTCTGGTACCAAAAAAAAAAAAATCCCACTGTGTACGAGGCAGATACAGTGACTGTAGAGATGGCTCCACTCTTGTGGTCCTCCTGCCTAGGGAGGGAGCTGTTTTAGCACTAGCAATTCCAGGCCCTTAGCCAAATGGGAAGATTAATGATCACTGTTTTCAGAATTTGTTCAAGCATGAGGAAATTAGAATAGTATCAGTAGTTGTTTGAGTTTGATCTATTACTCTGATACCATTTTCTGTTTTATCGGTTGTTATGTTGTCTTTTGGTTAATGAAAGGTGAGAAACAAATTCATCCATAACCACTTATTGGCTGGGCAGATAGGAGGACACTGGAGTTCCTGCACGGAATTCTGTTGGGTGAGATGGTCCAGGAGATCCGTTGTGTGCACTCGAATTGACTGGGCTGGTGTGCACATTGACTTGAGGGGCACCTGATGCCGCTTTGAGGTCGGGGAGAGTTTAGACGCTCTTCTGGGACAAGGTGACCCTTGATCCACAGAGAAAAGGAACATGAAGGACAGCAGCAGCTATGAAGATGTGCTAAGACACAGCCCAGACAAAACATGGATCAGGAGCAGGTGGGGTAAAGAACAGGCACGTGATGTTGGGAGAAATCAGATTAGAGAGGTCAGCATGTCAGAGCCCCTGAAGTGCTGTCATAAGGAGTTGATTTTACCCACAGTTAATACAGCCATCGAGGAGTTCATTCAGCAGGAGAGGAGCATGCACTACAGTTTGGATGCTTGATCCCTCTGATGTCACCAAGGCAAAAAAGAAATTGGATAGGGAGGCAAGAAATGACAGAGACCTGAGCAAAGACTGAAGTCTGGCTGGAGTGCAGGGGTGGGTTCAGAGATGTTGAGCCTGTGGGACTGACTACAGATGGTGACCAGCTGACTGTGTGCTGTGCTCTCCATCATGGCTGAGTGTCAGAGTATCTGGTGGAGTTTCTAAAAAGATAAAAATGACTTGTCTTTATCCTGAGAGATTCTGATCCAGTTGATGTGGGCATATGTCTACTTTTTTTTTATACTGGAGATTGAACTCAGGGGCACATAACCACTGGGCCCCATCCCCAGCCCTTTTTCATATTTTATTTAGAGACAGGGTCTCTGAATTGCTTAGGGCCTCACCAAGTTGCTGAGGCTGGCCTCGAACTCGCAATCCTCCTGCCTCAGCCTCCTCAGCTGCTGGGATGACAGGCGTGAACCACCACACCTGCTCCCTCAATTTTCTTTTTGGAACTCTGCTTCTTGCATGTGCTTTGTAATATAAGATAGGAAGAGAGATGGAAGTTGCCAATTTTCTTCTGTCAACGTTTGATTTTTAAAGCAATAGCTAGTAGTTCTCGCATGGCTGTATGTAATTCACCGTTAAGCGTCAAGGTCACTTTGGGCCTTCACCTGGTCGTTTCAGTGAAGCACAACTGGAGCACCCTGACAGAGGCCATTCAGAACCACATCGGCTCTCTCAACTGGAGCTACAGGTTGTCGCTGAGGGAAAAGGGAGTGACCTATGTCAATGCCTACGGGGAATTTGTGGACCATCATAAAATCAAGGTACTTTCTGAATTTCTTGTCCTTCTCTTGGCCTTTCCTTAATCCTGCTCACACTTGCCTTAAACTCACACAGAGGCCTGTTCTTGGCTGTGTTTGTTGATTATGTGTCTGCGCAAATTGAAAGAAATCGCTTTTCCAAGAGCTCTTAATTTAAAATTATTATTTGCCTTTGATTCTATCGACATCTTAGCAGAAAGTGTTCAGACCAGAGAGTTCACAGTTCAAAAGACTAGAAAGATCAACATTTTAGCAGTGGAATCCTTTCTAAAAGTGAAACCTTACCTAAAAGTCTCTATATGTTATCATAAAAGCATTGGTAAAAGCAATATCATTTAAAATGCAATAATATATATCATACACATATATTAATATAATGTCTTTATATATGACATTATGTGTAACATGTATTATTATATTTAATATAGTATATAACATTATTTTATATTTTTATATTTTTTGCACAAGGAAAACGAGATCATTTTGATGAGCACAGAGGTTTTCACTAGAGTTAGGATCAGTAGCCAGGTCTCACCCTCCGCATCCGCTTTATTCCACACTTGGCCTTGATGACACAGTGTGAAGTCAGGTGTTACCTCAGAAGGATCTGGGCCGAGGTGGCTCTTAAAACCTTAACTTGGGGACCTAGTGGGGACCCCAGAGGTAGCACACGTGCCCAGCCTGCTTGAGGCGCAGGATTTCACCCCCAGCACCAGGCACCAGGTTAAAAGGCAAACTTCCATGACTGATCTGAATCGTATCATTCACAGGAAACACTGTAGAAATGCAGCGTCAGTTTTATTTCTCAAATAATAATAATATGCCTGGTGCAGGTGGTTGAACAGCTGTTTAGTCAGGTTTTTTGCTGCTGTGACTAAAAGACCAGATCAGATCAGTTTTAGGGGAGGACAAGTGGACGTGGGGCCTAGGGGTCACAGGTCGCAGTCCACAGACGGCGGCTCTCGGTTTCACTTCACCACTGCACCCCCAGCCCTGCCGTCCCCCTCCTCTCACTTCTGGCCACTTGCTGTCCCCCAGGCCCCGGCCCTCGCAGGCCTGCGTGCTGTCCTGGTCCTGTGCACGGCTCTCAATCGACCCTCCCTGGGCACCTCATGCCTCCTTTGAAGCCACCCTGGGCTGGTTTCCTCATGGCTTCCCAGCCCCCTGTGCCCTTGATCGTGCCTGTTCTGTGAAGGCGGCTCTCGTCCGCGGTGCCCACCTCGCTGGACCGTGGTTCATCCTGGTGAGCCAGGCGCCCTGGTCTGGGTGGCGCCCGTCTTGTCCAGTGTACTGTCCAGTGTGTGCAATCAGTCAGGTTTGCTTTCCTTCTTTCCCAAGGCAACCAATAAAAAAGGACAGGAAAGTTATTTTTCTGCTTCAAAGTTTGTCATAGCAACCGGTGAAAGGCCACGGTACTTGGGCATCCAAGGCGATAAAGAATACTGCATTACGAGGTAAGAGTAAATGGATGGTTTTAAACTGAAAAATTGCCTCGTGTCTGTGTTTCCAGCTTGCTCACTCTCTATCTTATTGCACGAAAGATTTGGATTGGTAACAAAAGTACATGCAAGGCAGGAAGCTAAGTCAAGTGATAAGACACACAAAATAAGATCAAGTAAACAGTGTCAGGGTAAAACTTACACCCAAAATATGCTGGGCTGCTCTGTGATTGCTGGGAATGGTGGAGGAATTTGGTTGTAAGCTTCAGACAAACAAGTACAATTAGCGTCAGGGTTTAGTGTGAGAGGGTCAGTGGAAGCCGATGGTCAGGAGCCACACGGCCCCCTCCGCATTTGCAATGGCAGGTTCCTGTGGGTCAGCACGGGAGGTGCTGCAGGCTGCTGTCCATGGCTGCAGACTTGTCTGGGCGGGCTGCCGTAGGAGAGCAGCTGTGGACTGGGGGGAAGGTCAGTGGTCCAGTAACTGTCCAGTCTGCCCAAGGCCCATCCCCAGCAGTACAAGGCAGGTAGGTAGGCAGGTGGGTAGACAGACAGATGGACTGATGGACTACTAGACAGATAGACTGATATAGACTGATAGACTAGGAAGATAGAGTGAGTGATAGATGGATAGACAGATAGATAGACAGATGGACTGATAGACTACTAGAGAGAATTTTTTTTAAATTTATTTATTTTAATATTTATTTTTCAGTTTTCGGCGGACACAACATCTTTGTTTGTATGTGGTGCTGAGGATCGAACCCGGGCTGCATGCATGCCAGGCGAGCGCGCTACCGCTTGAGCCACATCCCCAGCCCCGTAGACTACTAGATAGATAGACTGATAGACAGATGGACTGATAGACTACTAGATAGATAGACATAGGCAGACAGACAGATGGACTGATACACTACTAGATACTGATACATAGATAGATGGATAGACAGATACACAGACAGATGGACTGATAGACTACTAGATAGGTAGACATACGATGAAATGATAGACTACTAGGAGGATAGAGAGATACACTGATAGATGGATAGACAGACAGATGGACTGATAGACTACTAGATAGATAGACAGACAGACAGATGGACTGATAGAGTACTAGATAGATAGATAAATGGACTGATGCACTACTAGATAGACAGACAGATGGACTGATAGACTACTACATAGATAGACTGATAGATATAGACAGATAGATATAGACTGGTAGATGGATAGACAGATACACAAGACAGATGGACTGATAGACTACTAGATAGATGGACTAATAGATAGACAGATGGACTGATAGACTACTAGATAGATGGACTAATAGATAGACAGATGGACTGATAGACTACTAGATAAACTGATAGATATAGACTGTAGACTATGAGAGAGATAGACTGATAGATAGATGGATTGATAGACTACTAGATAGATAGATAGATGGACTGATAGACTGTTAGATAGATATTGACTGATAGAGTATTAAACAGACTCTTAGATAGATATAGACTAATAGACTATTAGATAGATAGATTGATAGACGGATAGATAGATACATAGATGAATGGACTGATAGACTACTAAATAGATACACACGATAGATAGGTAGGTAGGTAGATAGATAGATAGGTAGGTAGGTAGGTAGGTAGGTAGATAGATAGATAGATAGATAGATAGATAGATAGATATGGAGGGGGGAGGGAAAAGGAGAGAAACGCATTTCTGTTGCACTGTTATTCAGGCGACCACACAGTACACACTGGATGTGCGCACACGTACACGCGCCCCCCACACACCCACTGCCAAAACAACCAACCATTTTCTTTTCAGTGCAGTCTAATATTTCCTATCTTTGTTTTTTAAATCCTTTACTTGTGATCTCATTTGATGTTGAATAAAGCTGAGTGTCCCCCTCCCATCCCCCCACGGGAGGCTCAGACACAGACACCCAGGCTGTTTCCTGTTGTGTCCTTCCATCCAGGTCCCACAATGCGCTTGGGCCAGCCCAGGTCATCATGCACTGAAACTTCAGGACCTTGCTTCACCTTCTCTCTCTCTTCCCATTTCTGTTTTCAGTGACGACCTGTTCTCTCTGCCTCACTGCCCCGGCAAGACCTTAGTGGTGGGTGCCTCTTACGTCGCCCTGGAGTGCGCAGGCTTTCTTGCGGGCTTTGGCCTAGAAGTGACAGTTATGGTGCGTTCAATCCTTCTTCGCGGCTTTGATCAAGAGATGGCAGAGAAAGTGGGTTCCTACATGGAGAGACATGGCGTTAAGTTCTTGAGGAAATTCGTCCCCGTGAAGGTGAGTCTGCATGGCACTTGGATCCCTTTCTGTTCTCAATCTCGCTTTAACTGTTTAATTTTACCCCTTCTCACTTTATTTCATTAAATAAATTACTCTGCACTTAAATAGTGTTGCGAATACTGAACCCACCCCCCAAAAAACCACGAAACTGGTCTCACTTGTCCTTGCTCTTACACTGGAGAAGGTGTCCTAGATCTTCTCGAAGGCTCTTTCACGGACATCCGTCTCCAGCAGGTCCCATCTTTAATAAGCCCTGCACACCTGCTTGGGTCCCCATTTCCCCTTTTCTCTTTACAGAAAGAGCTTCTCTGCCTGCTGTTTGCAATTTCTTGCCTCCTTTACACACTTAGTTGACTCCCACCTGCTTGGTGAAGCTGCTTGTTGGGAGACCCAGTGGCCACATCTCTGTGCTCACCTTACTGGGCCTCCTGACAGCCTGTGGGGAAGGTGACATTCCTTTTGTGTGACATTCCTCTGGTTTGAAGGGCTCTCCTTCCTGCCTTCTGTGGCTCCACGGTCTGTGGTTTGGTTTTACTTTATGTGGTACTGGGGTTTGAACCCAGGACTTCGCCCAGGGTGGGCCAGCGCTCTACCACTCAGCTACACACCCAGTCCCCACTCAGCCTGTGGATCCAACATCCTGTTTTTCAACCCTGGCTTCTCTGCATTTTTTTTTTAACCTGGGTGGTCTTCTGGCTGCTCTTAGGTTTTAGTCATTTACATGCTAATGACTCAGATTGGTAGCTCCCAATCCCTGCACTCATTCCTAACAGCTGCCTGCTGGGGGTCACCACTTGGATCCCTCCAAAGCATCTGGGATTTAAGAAGACAAAGTTAGAGGATCTCTGCCTTTTCCTCCTAGACCCTGCGATCTTCCTGCCCATCTTGGTACTCAGGAAGTGGCCCAGGGTCAGCTCATTCAGCCAACCACGCCTGGGATCCTACCTTCATTTCTTATTCATGCTGCCTCTAATCTCAGCTAGTTCATTGCACCCTCCCACATGGAGCTCACTGACAGAGTTCCTTTCTGTCTCTTTGCTTGGTCCCTGGAGTTCCCCGCCACCCCCCCACCCTTGGATTCACTGGTTAGCTTCCTGTTACCTTCCATGGACTCACAACACCACTGATCCCTGCCAGATTCAGCAGCTGGAGAGAGGCTCACCTGGAAAGCTGAAAGTATGGGCCAAATCCACTGAAGGACCGGAAACCATCGAGGAGGTGTACAACACAGTGAGTATACTTATAGGAGCAATGACTGGTTGAATATGTTCATAAATCACCAGAGGCTAACCAGGGGAAGACGGCACTGTGATTCATGTTTTTTAATTCTTCATAAGAGTGGAACAGGGCTGGGGATAGAGCTCAGTTGGGAGAGTGCTTACCTCGCATGCGCAAGGCCCTGGGTTCAGTCCCGAGCACCACAGAATAAATAAATTAAATAAAGGGATTGTGTCCACCTACAACTAGAAAAGATTTTTTTTTTTAATGAGTGGAATAAATATGGACCATCATGGGGGCTGCTCACATTTGAGTTTTCAATGACACACGGACAGTATATGTCATTGTAACAGCACAGAACAAACTCTTTTTTTAAAGATTTTTATTTGTGTATTTATATTTTGTAGTTGCCAATGGAGAGCATGCCTTTATTTTATTTGTTTATTTTGATGCAGTGCTAAGGACCGAACCCAGTGCCTCACAAATGCTAGGTAGGCACTCTGCCACTGAGCCCCAGCCCCAACCCCAGAACAAAACTCTTGAAGCTCTATACCCAAATGTTCTTGTTGCTAACTCCTGGGGAATTAGATATTGTATATATATCTTCATTTTCAAATTTTGGCAGTAGACACTGAATGTATTCTATTATTAAAATAATAAAAAAAATTTTTTCTTGGAGCTGTGGCTCAGTGGTAGAGCGCTTGCCTAGCACGTGCAAGGTACTGGGTTCGATCCTCAGCACCACATTAAAAATAAACAAATAAAATAAAGATATTGTGTCCAACTACAACTAAGAAAATATTTTTAAAATTTTTTTTCTTAAGAATAAACAATACAAAATTCTGAAACACTTTGGCTTGCTTATGCAAGATTTTAGATGCTGGTAATTCTTTCAGCTGTACATTTATGTTTTATGAGCTCTTATATACAAAATTTTTTAGCTTAAAAAAGTAAACATAACATAGAAAGGATCACGAAATACATTAAAAAATGAAAAAAATAGAGGCTTTGATTAGGATTACATTGGCTGCATTAGAATACTCCTTCGGGAGTATTCAGTCTAACAATCATTCATGGACGGGGAATATCGGTCATAGATCTTCTTTAATGACTCCCAACAAAGTTAATAAATTTCTATTAAATTAATTTTATTATTTTATTAACTGTATTTTATTTCTATTAAATTTAATTATTGCTCCTTTGTTATTTTAAACTAGTTCTAGGGAGATCAAGAGAACATCTGTTAGATTTATTCCTACTTACATATTTATGTGTAGCTGCAAATGGTATTTTTTTAATATCGTCACTTATTGCTGGTATGTAGAAATGGTGATTTTTGTGTTGAGAGTTCATATTCAGTCATCTTGCTAAACTCTCATTTAATAATTTATCCTTAGGTTATTTTAGGTTTCCTGTGTACGAGTTCATATTATCTGTGAATAAGAGCATATTTAAGTTCCTATTATCTGCTTTCTACTCTAATACTTCCCCTCCTGCCTGAGCGCTCGAGCGAGGACCCCCGAGGACCCCCCAGTAGGCCTTTATGGGGATCAGCAACATTCTTGCCTTGTTCTCTGTATTCCGTGTTTCATCACAAAGACGTGATGTTTTCTGTAGGGTTTGAGTAGAGCATCCAGTTCAAGACATTCTTTCCTATTTTTTGTTTGCTGTTGGTTTTTTCTGTTCTGTTTCACCTGTCACAGTTTGGATATGAGGTGTCCCCCAAGACGTGCAGGTGGAAGCCTTGGTGGACTCGCCCATTCAGAGATTGGCTGAACAGATTCTTGGGAGATGCTGGGAACTGGAGGTGGGGAAACCCATTGGAGGGAGGGTCTTGGGGGCTGCCCTTTGAGACTCTCTTGTTCCTGACCGCTCTCTCTCTGCTTCTTGGCCGCCAAGAGGGGGAGACCTTGGCTCTGCCACAGCTCTCAAATGTGCTCTGCCTCACCCCAGGCCTTAGCAATGGAGCCGCCGACCACAGACTGAGACTCTGAACTGTGAGCCAAAGAACATCTTTCCTCCTCAAAGTTGCTTTTCTAGGTATTTTGTCAAGTGATGCAAAGCTGACTAAAATATCTTAAGATTAGGAATGGACCTGCAGTTGTAATAGTGGCTGATGGTCTTTTGAGTCTTTAATCTCCGTGGCCTTGATGTTCTAAAGTCTAGTCAGCTCTACATTGCTGGAATCAACCCCACTTGGTTAGGCTAGATTGGGTTATTTCGAATTTTTTGCATCTGTATTTAAGAATCATATTGGCATATGATTTTCCTTTCACTACTGAACTTTTTTATAGTTAGGTGTCAGGGTTTTCAGAGCCCATAAAAGGAGTCGGAGTATGTTTCTTTCTTTCCTGTTTCTGGAAACCTCTATGTGATATTAGAATGGGTTTTTATGTTTGATGGAGTTCTCTGATGTTGCCATATGAGTCTAGAATTTTCTAGGAGACATATTTCAACACTGATTCTGTTTCTTTCATGATCAAAGAATTTTTTAAAATGTTCCATTTTTCTTTCTTGAGTTACTCTCAATATGTTATATTTTTCTAGGAATTAGTCCCTTTTATCTAAGTTTCCAAATATGTCAGTATAAAGTTGTTCACGATATCTAATTTTTAAAAGCTATTGATGTTTGAAGTGGGGTGTAATTTCCATGTAAAAATGCACACATCTTAATTGGGCGTGGTGGCACATGCCCATAATCCCAGCAGCTTGGGAGGCTGAGGCAGGAGGATCGCGAGTTCAAAGCCAGCCTCAGCAATGACGAGGTGTTAAGCAACTCAGTGAGACCCTGTCTCTAAATGCAACACAGAATCAGGCTGGGGATGTGGCTCAGTGGTTGAGGGCCCCTGAGTTCAATCCCCAGAATCCCCTCCTCCCCCCAAAAATGCACACATCTTAGGTACACAGGCTAATTGGTTTGGACAGGGGTGGGTGTTCATGCCATCCACACCCCTTCAAAGGCAGCAAAACATGACCGTGAGTCCAGAGACCTCCTGTCCCTTCCAGTCCCCAACCCTGGGCAACCACTGTTCTGATTCTGTTACCACAGGCTACCTCTGCCCATTCTCAACTCCCCATAAAGGGAATCAGACACTGTGTACTCTGCTCTTCAGTATATGGTACTCATTCAGGTTGATGTTTGTGCACTCGGTAGTTAGTTCTCTTACTGTATGGCTTGGACGAGTTTCATTCTTTGCCTGTGTTGGGACACCTGTGTTCTTTTCATCTTAGGCTGTTATGATTACAACTATTATGAATATTTCTTGTTTAAAATTTTGTGGGCCAGGCATGGTGGCACATTCCTGTAATCCCAGCGGCTCAGGAGGCTGAGGTAGGAGGATTGCAAGTGGAGGCCAGCCTCAGCAACTTAGCAAGGCCCTAAGCAACTCAGTGAGACCCTGTCTCTAAATAAAATATAAAAAAGGACTAGGGACGGGGCTCAGGGATTAAGCACCCCTGGGTTCAATCCCCAGTATCAAAAGAACAAAAAACAAAAAAACCCTTTTTGTGGCCATATAATAATTTCTCTTGGATAAATATCTAGGAATGGCATGGCTTGATCATAGGATATTTCCATATTTAACTTTATGAATTTTTAAAATTTTTTTCAGTGCAGGGATGAACCCAGGGCTTATGTTGCAATGGAAGCGCTCAGCACTTCCAGCCAGATAGTATCATTTTGTATTTGTATCAGCCATGTGCAGGGCCTGGGGGTGTGATATGCTTACCAATCTCTGATGTCGTCTGGCTTCCATTTTAGCCATTCTGGTGGATGGGTGGTGGAATCTTGCTGTTTTTTTCAAAAATATTTTTATTAGTTGTTGATGTACCTTCATTTTATTTACTTATACGTGGTGCTGAGAATCAGACCCAGTGCCTCACACATGCTAGGCAGGCGCTGGACCACTGAGCCCCAGCCCCAGCCCTGGCTGTGGCTTTCATTTGCATCTTTGTGATAACTAACCATGTGCAGCAGTCTTTCATGTTGGACATTCATATATCTTCCCTTATGAAGTGTGCACTCAAGTCTTTGGCCATTTGTGTTGGATGACTTGAATCCTTGTTCTTATATCTGACGAGCCCTGTAAAGATCTTGAGTATCTATTCCTTCTTCAGATACATGTAGTAGGAGTTTTTTCTTCTCATCTGTGACTTGCCTATTTATTTTTAATAGGGCCTTTTGATGAGCAGTGGTTTTAAAATTTTTATGAAACCCAGTTTCTCTCTTTTTTCTTTTACGGTTAGTGCTTCTGCAGTTCTGAGAAGTCTTCTCTTCCCCCAAAGGTCATGAAGCTCTCCCTGTGCTTTGCTTCTGAAGCTTTATAGTTTTCTCTTCTAAAATATAAAACTGCAGCCCTCCTTGAACTAATTTTTATGTATGGCGTGATGGAAGGATTGAGCTGCTTTTTCTTCCTTATCTGGTACCATTTGTCCAAAACTCTTCCCTTTCTCTCTTGAATTATCTTGGTGCCTCGGTTGAAGTCATTTGACCATTCAACTGGGGGATCTCTCTGCACTCTTTACTCTGACCCCAGACCGTGTGTCTTGGTGATCCTTTCCCTGGGACCGCATGGGTCAGATTACCGATCCTTTACAGTTACTTTCAGATCAGGTAGAGGAAGAACTCCAATTTTGCTTATGGCCTTTACATTTCCCTATGCTTTGAAAACAGATTTTCCCCAACTTCGAAAATAGTCTGCTTGGATTTTCATTGAGGTTGTGTTTATTTTATAGATCAGGTTGGAAGCACTGACTTGCTTTGTTCTGTGGGTGCTGGGGATGGAACCCAGGGCCTCATGCATGCTAAGCATGTGCTCTGCCACTGAGCCCCCCTCCCCACCCTGGATGAAATACCATCTTAACAGTGTCTGTTTTTCCAGTGCACACACCTCACGTATCTTTGCATTTGTTTCTCTTCATGATGCTTCATCATTGTGTTCTAGAGGTCTTTCACATGCAAAACTTCTTCCAGAATTTCATGATTTTTAAACTAGTATAAATGGTATTTTTAAAATTTTCATTTTCAATGGGGACTTATTGACCTTGTAGCCACTTAGGATGCATGTCTACAAGTAAAAACAGTTTGTATATTCCTTTCCAATCTGCAAGGTTTTTGCCTGTTTCTTTCCTCGTTGCAGGGGCTAAGAACCTCTAGGCCAGAGTTAACTAGGAGTTATGAGAATTTCCTGTGTGGTTCCCAATCTAGGAGTGAAGCATTCAGTCTTTCGTCATTGCTAGGAGGTGACCTGTAAGTTTTTTTAACACGTGCCTTTCATATTCAATTGAGGAACTTTCTAAAAATTCTTTTTTTTTTTTCCTAAAAATTCTTCATGTGCTAAGAATTTTGTTTGGATGATGGAGTGTTGAATTTCGTCAAATGATTTTCCTGCAGCTATTAAGATGATCATTGTTTTCTTCTTGATCCTGTTAAGAGGATGAATTATACTGACAGATTTTATATGTCAAATTTGCAGTTTGAGGACAGATTCCCCTTGGTCATGAGAGCCTTTTTATATGTTTCTGTATTCAGTTTGCTAACATTTTGTGAAGGATTTTATATCTATGTTCATGAAGAGTAGGGACTTGGGATTTTCTTTTCTTTTAATGTCCTTATCTGTTTTGGTTTTGATTTTGCAGTCATGGGGGTAGAACCCAGGGCTGTACCCCTGAACGGTGTCCCTGGCACTTTTTATCTTTTATTTAGCGTGAGGGTCTCACTGAGTTGTCCAGACTGACCTCCATCATGGTGACATATTAGTATAATTTCTTACTTAAGCATTCTGAAGACTCGAAGCAGAGATGCCACCTGGGTCTGGAGTTAATTTTTTGGACCTTTATAAATTGTAAATTCATTGTTTTATATTAGTTTGCTAGGTCAATGAGTGGCTTGGATCTCAAATGTCCCAGAAAACCTCATGTGTTAAAGGCTTGGTTCCTAGCTTGGCGCTATTAGAAGGTGGTAGAACCTTGAGGTGGCGGAGCCTCGTGGAAGGAAGTTAGGTCACTATGAACATGCCCTTAGAGGGACACTTCCTGTTTCTCTCTTTGCTTCCTGGCCACCATGAGGTAAACAGGCCTCCTTCACGATGTTGTCCCTCAATGATGAAGTGGGCTACCAGAGACCCAGAGTGACAGGCCGAGTGATCATGAAGTGAAACCTCTAAAACTGCCAGCCAAAATAAACCTTTCCTCCTGTTAAGTCATCTATCTCGGGTATTTGTCAAGTAATGGAAAGCACAGGCCATAGTACCCCAAATCTACAAACTGGTGTAATCAACATATATTTATTTTATCACAATTCCAGAGATGGGAAGTTCAAGGTCAAGTAGTCATGAGATGTGTTTTCTCTTGTGTTTCTGCTTGGCTTGCAGATGGCTGCCTTCTTATTGTGTCCTCTCCTCTATTTGAGAGTTTTCTGTATCCTAAGCTCCTCTTCCTCTAAGGGCATTACTCACACTGGATTAAGATTGTGTTAGTCAGCTTTCCGTTACTGTAACAGGATTCCTGAGATAATTCAACTTAAAAGGGACAAAAGTTTCTTTTGGCTTAGTGTTTTGGAAGTTTCACTACATGGTCTCTTGACCCCCTTACCTTTGTGCCTATGACCAGGTAGGACATCATGGCAGCTGCATATGGTGGAAGAGGCTGCTCACCTCATGGTGATCAGGGAGCAGCAAGAGTAGAAGAAGAGACCAAAGTCCTACGATTCCCTTGGAGGGCACATCCCCACCTCTCAGAGGCTCTACCACCTCTCAGTGGGGCCAGAGGCTGGGGACCAAGCCTTTAACACAAGGGCCTTTGGGAGACCCTGGTCCAAACCATAGTAAGGACCAACCTGTGTGACCTTATTTTACCTTAATTACTACTTTAGAGGCCCTATCTCCAAATACCGCCACAGTCTAAGGTACTTGGATAAGACTTCAGCATGTGGACACAGTTCATTCATGACCTGGGCTTATCAGATTTCTGTGTGTAAGATTAACAGGTTGTACTTTCAAGAACTCTTTCACCTAAGCTAACACTAGACTGACTGGCAGAGATGGCTCATAATATTTCATTATTGTCCTTTTAATGTCTGAAGAACTTTTAGCAATGAGCCCGTTATGACAATTTTTTTTTCTTCTTCTTCCAAATAAGGTCCTGCTAGCCATTGGCCGTGACTCCTGTACAAGGAAATTAGGCTTGGAGAAGATTGGTGTCAAAATCAATGAGAAGTAAGTACATGGGGTCGCGGCCCTGTTACCACACAAAGCAAAGCTGGCTGTAGGTCACCTCTTAGCATTGCTAAGATATGAATTTTTGGAGGGGGTGGTACTGAGGATTGAACTCAGGGGCACTCAACCCCTGAGCCCCCTCCCCAGCCCTATCTTGTATTTGAGACAGGGTCTCACTGAGTTGCTTAGGGCCTCACTTTGACTGAGGCTGGCTTTGAACTCATGATCCTCCTGCCTCAGCCTGCTAAGATAAAAACTTTTAATGTTTTAAATTTATCTCACAATATGTACCACAGCTGCTCTGTATTGATTTCTTCATCAATCAAGTACTCTTTTTTTTTTTTTTTAGATGGACACAATATCTTTATCTTGTTTACTTATTTTTGTGTGGTACTGAGGCTCGGACCCAGGGCCTGTCATGTGTGAAGCAAGCGCTCTGCCACTGAGCCCCAGCCCCAGCCCAACCAGTTACTCAGATCGCTGTCTTAAAGAGTTCAGGCACTCAACAACAATTTAAAAATAAATGGAGACGTTCACCTAAAAATCGTGATTTTGAGTGGATTTTTATGTTCTTGGTCAGGGAAGGAGAAGAATTCCAGAGCTCTGAGTCTGCCTGTGGGGGACGTCTGGAGACAGCCACAGTGTCTGAGCTGAGCAGTGCATGGCTTGACCAGAGACATTCTTCTTAGGATTTGAAACCTCTAACCTTATAGATTATTGATAACCCGAGGTGCTTGGGTTCCTAGCTGGAAGACTTTCCTCTGTGTGTTTTTGGAATATTCTTTTTCAGCCCATAACATGGTCAGTCACTATATCTATTTTTTCCTTTCCAAACACTACTAGGAATGGCAAGATCCCAGTGAATGATATGGAACAGACCAACGTGCCCCACGTCTATGCCATCGGCGACGTTTTGGAGGGCAGACCAGAGCTGACTCCTGTAGCCATCCAGGCAGGCAAGCTGCTAGCTCGCAGGCTCTTTGGGGCCTCGTCAGAAAAAGTAAGTTTCCTGCAATCCCAGCGCCTTGGGAGGCTGGAGGCAAAAGGCTCACCCCAAGTTCAAGGCCAGTCTTAGTAACTTGGTGAGACCCTAAACAACTTGTGGAGACCCGGTCTCAACTAAATAAAAAGGGCTAAAGATGTAGCCCAGGGGTAAAATGGCCCAGGATCAAATCCCTAGTTCCCAAAAGAAAAAGGTAAGCTTCTTCCTAATGTCAGTTTCTTATTATCATCCTGTGTGTGTGTGTGTGTGTGTCTGTGTGTGTGTGTGTGTCTGTGTGTGTGTGTGTGTGTGTTTTGCTGGGGATTGAGTCCCAGGCCTCGTGCCTGCCAGGCACCTGCTCTACCATCCAACATCACCCCAGCCCTGAGGTAATATCTTGATCAAAGTTTTGATTTAAAAAATGAGTATGAATAACTGATAACTTGGGCTGGGCTGCGGCTCAGCGGTAGAGCGCTCGCCTAGCACGTGTGAGGCCCAGGGTTCGATCCTCAGCACCACATACAACAATAAATAGATAAAGTAAAGGCATTGTGTCCAACTACAACTAAAAAATAAATACCAAAAATAAATAAACAAAGCTATTATGTCCAGAAATAAGTAAATGACCGATAACCTGTGTGCTTGTTTTCCAAGTGAAGGGTTCCTCAGGGATATGACTGGCAGTTGACTTACTATGTAATAATTATCGTAAGCAAGTATTTTCTGAGTTTCCACTATGCACAAGGCGTTTTCTGGGTGATGCACAGATTACTGTGGTTCCAGCCCCCGGGGCCTAGCAGGGGGGTGGAGGTCCTGAGTCAGGCACCGATGACTCATAAGACAGGATGTGGTCAGGTGCCAGGGGCTGAATCGGTTGCATGAATTTGGCCTCAGCGCCTCAGGTTCATCCCAGGTAAAGCCAGTGGTGGGAACCCACCTTCCATCCTGTGATCACGTGTCCCGGATCATCTTTGTAGGCTGAGTCATTCACAGAGGAAGCAGGGCCTCTGCTGGGAGGTAGGTGGGCCACTCAGACGAGAGCGGGCAGGTGTGCAGTGCTCTGTGCGCTGGGGACTCGGGGAACAGAGCCTCACCTGGGCAGATGCCCCCGCGTTAGGAGCGACCAGGGAGGTGTCAGCAGTGCTAAAGGTGCTGTCCCACCCAAAGATCCATCCCAGCCATGGGACACGCAGCAATGTCGGGTGTCCATGTGCAGAAAGTTGGGGACAGGGGAGTACAGTTGGGGACAGGGCAGTGCAGTGGGGATAGATAAGCGAGTACAGTTGGGGATAGACAGGGGAGCACATTGGGATGGAGACTGGAAAATTAATATGGAGCCAGATCATCACAAACCCTGGAAGTTCAGTAGTGAGTCGGTGAGGCCTTCCCTGGGCAGTGGGGAGCCCTCAGAGACCTTGTTTCCCCCCGCCTTTCATTTAGATAGATGCCAAGCCACAGAGAGAACAGCGAGCAGCCACCCGTCATAAGCCTGTCCCCCAGGCCACGGTTACTAATTTGCCATGTGGGCTGTCCCCTCCTCCCAGCCAGCCGTGCCTCCTGAGGGTCCCTCCTGTCTGCCAGCAGCGCCCACTCTTCTCTCAACCTGATAAGGGCTCTAAAGATGGTTCTGTCCTAACCACAGGACTTCAGAGATGGCCACCCTCCACTGGCCCTCGTGAGGTGTTAGCACTTCTCTCTCTCTCTCTCTCTCTCTCTCTCTCACACACACACACACACACACACACACACACACACCCCATCTCCCCTGGATGGTTGGGGACAGTCACTCCAACACTGCGGAGCTGCCTGTTTGCCTGGCCTCTCTGTGGCACGTGCAATGGTCAATAGAGGTCTCAGCTTCTAGTGCAATAGCACAGTTCAAGGTCATCTGGATAAATGCTCCTGGAGAGCACAGGGGGTAGAAAAAACTGAACATTTTGGAGAACTCTTTTTTTTTATTCTTAAGTTGACAATGGGCCTTTATTTTAGTTTTATTCATTTATTTCCTCGCGGAGCTGAGAATGGAACCCAGTACTTCACATGGGAGATGGGCACTCTTACCACTGAGCCACAGCCCCAGCCCTGGACAATGACTTTTTAGGAACAACTGAGAAGTGCCCACCTCTGCCCCTGCCTCTCTGTTTTCATCCTTCCAAGTCTGGGCTTTGGGAGAGTGAGTCCTGTTCATGGTGGCCACCCGTGTGTGGTCTGTGCCCTGAGCCGGGGGCTCATGTTTGTCCTCAAGCAGTGTGACATAGAACGTCTTTGCAGTCGTCGATGTTGTAAGGATCAGTTACTTTTAACTAGACTCACTGATTATCCTTTTATAAATATTCGCACTGATTATCCTTTTATGAATTTTTGCTGAAAAAAGTGTCACCAAGTAGGACTCTAATTGCTTATCTTTCAGTGTGATTATATGAGCGTTCCAACTGCCGTGTTCACACCTCTGGAATATGGCTGCTGTGGACTGTCAGAAGAAAAAGCTATTGAAGTGTATAAAAAAGAGAATCTAGAAGTAAGATTGTGTTTTATTATTTCCTTTTTAAAGAATTTCCCTCCTAATGAACCATTTATCTTCACAGTCACTTTTTATTTTATTTCACAAGTTGCTACGGTGGTTTTATGGTAGGAAATCATATCCCTATTTGGAGGCAAATTAGAATTTAATTTAAACTTTCTAGCAAACTAATAAGAATACAACTGAGGCAAGAAGGGAGCAGAATGTATGTTAGGACATTTATCAAATTTGTTATAAGTGTCAAATTTGCAATTTGAGCAAGCTTGTACAGTGAAGTGCAAGGTCATCTTGAGATCTTTGGGGAGCCAGGTGCAGAGGTGCATGCCTGTAATCCCAGTGGCTCGGGAGGCTGAGGCAGGAGGATCACAAGTTCAGTTCCAGCCTCAGCAAAAGTGAGGTCCTAAGCAACTCAGTAAGACCCTGTCTCTAAATAAAATACAAAATAGGGCTGGGGATGGGGCTCAGTGGTCAAGTGCCTCTGGGTTCAATCCCCACTATCAAAAAAATAAAAACAAGAAAAAAAATCCAAAACTTAAGCCTGTCATCCCAGCGACTTGGGAGGCTGAGGCAAGAGGATTGCAAGTTGGAGGCCAGCCTCAGTAACTCAGTGAGGCCTTGAGCAACTTAGTGAGACCTTGTCTCAAAACATAAAAAAAGGGGGGGGGGGGCTGGGGATGTAGCTCAGCATCCCTAGCACTAAATAATCATAATAATAGTAGTAATAATAATAATCTAATCATCATCATCATCATCTTTATAATGTTATTTTAGATTTACTTTTTGCATCCTGTTAGGTGAACTTTAAGTTGGGTTGTAGAAAATTGATGACCATAATTATGGATTTAACAGTTTTAAAGCTGTTTGCAGTCAGTGAGAAATTAAGGTAGAAAGGCAGACAGTGAGAAGACAAATGTGGACAGAAAGCCACACCCCGGGTAGAAGGAAGAGTGCATCAGAAACAAGGTGTCCAACTTTGGGGGCTTACTTTTAGGTAGTTCTCCTCAGGCCTACTGCAAATCAATTCACCTATTTTATTTACTTAGTTTTTCCATTTTGACAGAAGCCAAAATCTGATCTGATTGTGGGTTTTTTTTTTTTTTTTTTTTTTTGGTACCAGGGATTGGACTCAGGGGCCCTCGACCACTGAGCCCCATCCCCAGCCCTGTTTGTATTTTATTTAGAGACAGGGGTTTAGCACCTGGCTTTGGCTGAGGGTGGCTTTGAACTCGATCCTCCTGCCTCAGCCTGAGCCACTGGGATGACAGGTACGTGCCAACGCACGGACTCTATTTGTGTTTTTAATTCCTTATGGAAGCATTTGGGAAGCCTCCAACATAGTAATCAGAAAAATTCAAAAGAAAACATCCCTGTTACTAAATAAGGTCTTAACCTAAAGATTGAAATAGCATACCTTCTTCTAGGAGAAACTGATTGACACAGACATGCCCTACGTTTAAGTTACTGATCCTTGTCCCCAAGACACACAGAGAAAGCTAGTCATGCCCAGCGGACGGGGTCCCAGGCTGACCTCGGGCTTCTTCATAACAACATGCTGTGCTAAAGGCACGAGTGGTGTCTGTGAACTTTTGAGGGCAAAGTGGAGACTTTAAAGACCCGTCCAGGATGGTGTGTCATCTGTTGAGCTGCTCCAACAGGTTCCCGTGACTTGGTAGCTCATAAACCACAGACACCTATTTCGTATAGTTCTGGAGGCTGAGGATCCAAGATCAAGGCAGATTTGGTGTCTGGCGAGGGAGGAGCTTCTTTTGGTTCATAGATGGCTGTCAGTGTGTGCCAGCGGATGGCAGGAGCAAGGTGGCCCTCTGTGGCCTTGCTCATGAGGGCGCTAATCACATTGGTCAGGGCTCCACCCCTGAGAAGCTCCCAAGGAGGTTGGAATTTCAACATAGGAATTTGGGGAGGACCCAAATGTTAAGGCCATAGTAGATGACTAGCAATAAAATTTGACAAAGAAAAGCAAATAGATGAGGAGCAAGTAACCCAGAGATTTTTAGAAAATCTAGCAGCTGTAGGGGAAGGCAGGAGACCAATCTGAAGATCTCAGAATGGCTGACACCATGCACCTCTGGAGGGGAAACTGGACAGACAGGGTGTGGGGGCCAGCGGACTGTTTGAAAGGCCTTTTAAGAGACTTTGAGACTCGTGCCTGTCACCATTCTGAAGAGCACTGTTGTATTTACATTCATCCGCTGGTGATTCTAGTTCAGGACACTTTTCTTTGTCACCCAGCATTCATTCTTTGCCTTCAGTGTGAGTGATTCAGAGGTTCTACGCAGGGAGAAGGGAGCCATCCTGAGCAGATGGGCCAGGTGTGTGTTTGGTTCTGGTTTTTGGAGGACTCAGCCAGATCCAGAAAACATAGAGGCTCACCCAGGGCGTGGGCATGAGGACTTAGAGGACAGAAATGTGAAGGACGTAACCCTTGCTTTCAAGTATCACAGATTATGTGCTTCATTTCTTTGAATGGCTTGAACTATTTTGTTTCTTCTACTCTTCTAACTTTTGTTTTTGCATATGAACATAAAGATGAAGACAGAGATCTTTATCTTTCCTGGTACGTTGGCTTCGTACTCAGTAAATGTTTGAAAATTGAATTTGGTTCATAGAAAATTGATTTTTTTGGCTAATAGTGAAACAAAATAAAGTCGGCACACTTTGGTTGCAGCTGACACTTCAGGACTTCTGGCCCAAATGCTCTCACCCAGCCGATCATGTTGGGATCATCAAACTTTAACTTTCTGAAGGCTGCTATAGAGACTCTTATCTTTATAGAAGGAGAGCGCACCAAGGAGTGGACTAACCTGTGTGCACTAACCTGACCTGTTTCTGTCTCCCCACCTTTAGGTGTACCACACTCTATTCTGGCCTCTTGAATGGACAATAGCCGGCAGAGACAATAACACTTGTTATGCGAAGATAATCTGCAACAAATTTGACAGTGTACGTAAGGGACTGGGAGCAGAAATGCTGTCATTGGATGGGATTGGATTGGACTGATTGATTTTGTGACCCTGGGGATCCAGCCCAGGGATTTGTGCATGCCTGAGCCAGGACCCCAGCCCTAAATGCTATAATTTTAAAAGGTAGCTTTTCTTCTTAGGGTTTGGATTTTTAGAATATCTTTAAAGATAGCTTTGGGGTCCAGAGTGAGCACCTTCATGGGGTTTTCCTGTTGACATGGCCGCAGAGGTCCAGCAGTGACCGGTTGTCCCTGAGGTTTGCCCGTCCCCTCTCAGAATACATCAGTGGCAGTTGTCTCTGCCCAGAGCCCTCCTGATGGCTTGATGGCTTAGAAGGGGGTGAATGTGAAAATTTGGGTCATCACCTGCCTGGTACGGGTCTGTGTTTGTGGTGGCCCACACCTGTAATCCCAGTGGCTTGGGAGGCTGAGGCAGGAGGATTGAAGTTGGCTGTAAATCTCGCTTCTGACCTCAGAGGTGTGCTCATCCCGCGCACCCCAGACCTCATGGCGGGCAGACCTCGGTGCCAGCCTCGTGTTGGCTACTCCTCGCTTCCTGCTTCATGGAAGAAGCAGGGGACAACTGCTCCCTGGGCTGACAGTCTCCGCTTTTTCAGCAAAATCCGACACCTTCGAATTATCCCAGTGCTGGGCTTTAATTCAGATTTGTGCTGTTGTTGTTTAGCACTATCTCAGCATAATTCCGCAATCTACATCATCCTAATGAACTCCTTCATGCAGTGGGTAAATTGCTTGTTCTAGTAAATTTGAGTGCAAATTAACTCTGGATGCGCATTTACCGGCTCATTTCACAGAATCTTACAGAGGCTCCTTTTCATGGTAATGTTCTCTGCTCTGTTCAACATGAGAGTCCTCCTGTAGGAGAGGCTGTCGATTTGAACTGAACTTGGAGTGAAGAGATTCCTTTTCAGACCATTAACCTCCTGGGATTCTCTTTGTTTGGCTCCTGTATTAAAGGATCGAGTGATAGGATTTCATATTCTTGGACCAAACGCCGGTGAGATTACCCAAGGATTCGCAGCCGCCATGAAGTGTGGGCTCACCAAACAGCTGCTGGATGGCACCATCGGAATCCACCCCACATGTGGGGAGGTAGGGAGCAGGAGGGTTATGAATTGACTTTACTCGATGCACTTTGAAAAACCAATTTCAACAGTATTATCAAGCCGGGCTCAGGAGGCTGAGGCAGGAGGATCGCAAGTTGGAGGCCAGCCTCAGCAACAGCGAGGCCCTGAGCAACTCAGCGAGACCCTGTCTCTCAATAAAATACAAAATAGGGCTGGGGATGGGCCTCAGGGGTCGAGGGCCCCTAAGTTCAATCCCCAGTACCCCAAAAATATTGTCAGGAAGATTTTTTATCCGTAACTGTTTTGTATATTTTAAAGAATCACGCGATATTCAGAATGTGTTCTTTGAAAGCAGTGATGGCGTCTGACCATCTGTTTGTTGTGCTTCTTTCTGTGGCCAGGTCTTCACAACTCTGGAAATCACAAAGTCATCAGGACTGGACATCACCCAGAAGGGCTGCTGAGGGTAGCCCTGCTGCTGCCAAGTTCTCCTTGTCTGTTGTCATTCCTTTCAATGACAATAATGCTCTGTGCCCAGGACACCCGCTCTGTTGCTGGGGGACCAGTACAGGGCTCTGGAGGGCACAGAGATGAGAAGGCGGACAGGGGGACAGGTCAGCAGCAGGGGACTACGGTCGTCTCGGCTGACGTGAGTGGCAGTTAGGCTGCGTCCTTGACGCCCTGGCTCGGAACCCTCTGGTGAGGTGAGCCAGGGCCGACCCTCTTGCGTCAGACTGGACCTTGCCACCAGCACACCGTGAGTGGCACAGTAACCTAAGCTAACTTTTCCACACTTGGTACTGTTTTTATTCCTGCTTTGTTACTTCTATGAAGAAATTTTTTTTCAATTGTGAAACTGGCTGGGAAAGGCCATTTTCCTGGGTGTGGGCTTGGGTTGCACCTGCACGCCTGCGTGGGTGACATCTGGGAGATGCATTGGAGTAGCTGGCTGCAGAGGACTGGGGACATTAGCAGAAAGCTCTGCGCCAGGTCTAAGTGTCAGTCAACTGTCCTTTAAGCGACATTTTAACCTGCTGTCAAAATCCTGAATTGGGCTTCACCTTCCTGGACATTTCCTGGTGTCTGTCACTTGGAAGTGACTCTCCTCTTATTAGTAGGTATCTCTAGACTGGTGAGACAGCTCGTGTCAGAGACAAGTACTTGAATTTCTTCTTGTTGTTGATTTTTAAGAGTGATATTAAAAGACGTTTTCAGTACTGTAAGATGGGAAATCTGTTTTCAGACTGGTGAAAATGTTTCAGTCATGATCTGTTTAATGTAGACAAGTTCAGAAAAGAAACAGGTGATAGTTAGCGGTTTAATTTGAACTTACATCTGCGACGGAAAGGTCCTTGGGGACAGAAGCCCTTAGACAGCCTCTTACACTGCTGCCCAGTTCACCCTCCTGCGGGCCTCTTGCTCCCTGGAGAGGTAGCCCGGGGCTACATCATGACAGAGTTGTGTGGTCACAGTTTCTAGGCATAAGTTTTAAAAGTGAATTGTAAAACCAGCAAGCAAGTCCGGAACGCCACTTGGAGAGGGACATTTTGCGGCCTATGGTAGGCCACAGAGCCTAGGCTTACCAGAAGTCAAAGGTCTGGGGTCATATAGGGATGGGCCAGAGGGTCCCTGCTGTAGAGCTACACTGGGAACCCAGACCTTAAAGTTCATGTCACATGGGGGGAGTGGAGTGTGGGGTGGCCCGAGCTGAATGAATGGGAGATCGAGATGGAAATGCACCTTAAGACCAGGAGTCAGTTCACAGGAAGGAGGGGACTATGGAAAGATCTCGGCTTTGGAGAGTGACCCACGTGGGCATGCCTGCTCCGTGGCTTACGAGATGTGACAGAATGTGCTGCTTGGCTTTTCCTCCTCTTCCTTTGTTGAGTGCAGACAGTGCTGCCCACCTCACAGAGCTACCTGGATGAGGTCCGCACTCTGGAGCGCATTGGCGTAGAGTGGCTTGGCTTCAGCGCTGAGGAATAAGGTCCCTGATAAGGAGAGCTACTGTAGACACGCAGCAGTACAGCCAGCAGGTAGGCAGAGAGGGGACTGGTCTCTTGCATACTTTCACAGGCAACCTCCAAGTGGGATCCCCAAGTCCTGGTAATCACATCCCTGTGTGGTCCCCTCCCCCATTTTACCAAGGTAGGTCTGGGTGACCATGAGCCTATGTCACTTCTAAGATTCGATCATAAAAGGACTGCAGATCAACTTTTGGTCCTGCATGGGCGCTTGCTCTCACTTGCTGTGGGAGAAGAGAGCTTTGTGTCATGAAGGCACTCAGGAAGTTCCTGGAGAGGCCCTGGTGGTGAAGAACTGAAGTCCCCAGCCACCACCAATATTCTGAAGTCTGACATGTCCGTGTGAAGGAGCTCAGGAAGGGACACTGCTGCAGCCAAGATTCCCTGGGCCAGAAGCTTAACAGCATCTCTGTGAGGCACTTGGGGCCAAATCCATCCAGTTTGGGCACTCCCAGTCTCCTGACCCTCAGGAACTGTGAAATAATAAGTGCTCATAATTTAAGCTGCTAATTTTTGGAGTAATTTTTTTTACCCAGCAAGAGATGATCAACACATTTAGGAAGGAAAACTAAAATTAGTACTGATGTGATCAGCCAACTCGAGTGTCTTGGGGTCAGTTACCCCTAAACAGACACAATAAAATTCGTGGGCTTACCATTCCGACAGAAGAAGCTCACACTCAGCTCTGAGTTCACGTCATTGTCGTAAACAGCAGGGAAATGCAAGACACCTTTGGGGTCAGTGGTCCTGAGCGGTGGCTGTGGTAGGTTCTTGCTGAAGTTCCTAAAAGATTACTAAGAAAACCTGATCATCATACAAATGAATGTTATTCAACTAATGAAGGGAGAGCATGACCCCGATATATTGAGTTTCAGTACCATCTTAAATGGGAGATGAAGAAGGGTACCATCCACTCTCCCCCTGGGGAGGCCACACATCTCCAATCTAGGATGAGGTCCGCACTCTAGACTGGGGCCATCCAATCATGGACTGGGACCTCCAAAACCATGAGCCACAGTAAACCTTTTTTCTTTATAAGTTAATTTTCTCAGGCATTTTGGAGTGGTGGTGGAAAGCTGACCGGTAGTGCATCTTACCATTTGTAAATGATACTTCAAAATTAATTCTTCGTCAGTGTTCAAAATACTTGTTGAACAATTACTAGACGATAGGTTCTCTTTGGGTAAGAAGAATGTGCATAGCCAGAGGAACAGAGGCTCAGAAAAGACTGAACGAGGGCAGATAAGAATCCAGGTAGAGGAGCAGGTCGGAGTAGGGGGTGTCATCTCCTATCACAGATGCCTAAGTGTCCGTGCCTTAGAATTTGCCCATTAGTAGATGGATCTTATTAACTCTCCCAATTAATCTATAGTGTGTCCCATTAACACTGACAGACTACTGGGGTGTCATCTTTGGTCTCTGTGTGATCCTGGGCTGTGTAAGTACCTTCTAGAAATGCATGTGTGAGAACTAGCTTTGGGCATGATGAGCAGCGCTATTGGTGTTATTTGAACCCCCCACTGTGGCTTCTCCCAGCTGTGTCAGGTCTACACCCCAGGCCACCCAGATTTCTTTCCCCCAAACTCTAAAACGGTGTGTGATTATTGCCATTTGGAAAGCAATGAGCTGAGTCTTGCTTCTCTTTTGGCAGGATCCTTATCAAATGAATGGGGGGAATTTTAAATTTAGCCCAGCTTTCTCAGGAAGAAATCTCTACGCCGGGGGGTAAATGCAGGATGGCAGTTCTGCACTTGTTGGCCAGGTGATGTCAATCTCTGGGCGAGATCGCTGCTGGGCATGGGGGCTGCTGTGCCTTAAGTGGGGTGTAGTAAGTAGGATCAGCAGCATCATGCGTGGCAGACCTGCTGGGACCCTATTGCCCCAAATCGCCCTCTTAGCACACAAGCGTTTCTGCAGTCTGTTTCCTCTGTGGGATGTTAATGACCATAGGTTATTGAGTCAGCCCTTCCCCGGAGGCTGCCTGATTTACTAGGTCAGAAGGCTTTTCTGCATTGCTTACCTGGTCTCTATCACTTTCTAAAGCAACCCCCACCACCAGAGCCGAGATGATGAAGTGGTCCACAGAGGGCTTCCGTAACTTCTGCTGGGGGACTGCTAGTTCATTTAATATCATCAACAGCCTTAGCTAGTCCCAGGGACTAGCAAAGCTAAGTGAACTTTGTTAAAATGAATGTTCTTAAGTCACTTTCTTGGGGATCTTAGGGGACTGGGGATGGAACTGAGGGGCCCTTGACCCCTGAGCCCCATCCCCAGTCCTATTTTGCATTTTATTTAGAGACAGGGTCTGAGTTGCTTAGCGCCTTGCTTTGGCTGAGGCTGGCGTCCAACTTGTGATCCTCCTGCCTCAGCCTCCGGAGTTGCTGGGATGACAGACATGTGCTATTTGTATTTGTTCAGCCTATAATGGGACACGTGGTGACTTCAAACCCTGCCCCGTGCCACATAGGGCGTTACCTAGTTTCTATGCCCTCGTAGCTTTACAATCAAGTGGAACTAGCAGGTACAAATAGATAGCTTTAGAAATTATTTCTGCCTTGCAGAGGAAGGAGAATAAACACTGAATTCTATAATAAGCCAGAGTTATACTCTGTTCATAAATTTGTTTAATTATCTCATGATCACTTGAAAATACCGATGAGGAACCTGTGGAGCCCTGTTGATCCAAAGTTCATTCATTTTTTGGTGCATTAAGATAGCAGGAAAGAATGTTAATAAATAATAGCCAGGGGGCTGGGGCTGGGGCTCAGAGCACTTGCCTAGCATGTGTGAGGCCCTGGGTTCGATCCTCAGCGCCACATCAAAATAAATAAAAAATAAAGGTACATCAACAACGAAAAAATATCTTGAATAAATAAATAATGGCTAGGAATCCATTTATATTTAGTGTGATCAGGGAATTTTACTGTTTCGTGGGGGAAGTGGGCACTAAATTGCTAAATTCTCGTTATAATTATTGTAAAGAGTTAAGTTTGAAAGATGTATGCATTTAAAGGCGGAGACTGCTCTTCACTTGGTGCATCTTCTGTTAGAAGCATTTGCATCTCAGGGTGATCAGAGATCAGCTGTGGATTTTAAATCGGTTCCAATAAAGCCCGGAGCTGTGACTTCTCCTCCTTCAATTCTGGTCATGATCATCCACATGCAGACTCAGGTGATCCACAGCTCAGTAGGAAGATCCGGCTTGCCCCACGCCCTGAGTCATTTCCTGCTGCCGGTTGGGCCTTCCCCACCTCGGGCTCCACCCCTGCTCGCTGCCTGGCCCTTCTCCCTGGGGAGGCCACACATCTCTTCCCACTAACTTTCAGGACCCACGTGGACCTGTGCGGATTCCCGGGAAGTCAAGGACTTGTCTGTTTATGCGTTGAGTACAAAGATCCAGCAAACCCAACTTGGTGACCTTGGTTTTTGTCTGAAGCTGTATAGGAAGTTCAGTTTGACCAGATTCCTTCCTTGCTGCAGATCTTAGGAACGCCAGCATGCAGCTTTTTCTTCTTATGAAATTGACAACTTTCACCTCTTCACTTAAAGAAAACCAAAGGGCAAACCCAAAGGGCCAGCATCACTACTTTTGCACTTTGGGATCATGAGGTAAGTAAAGGTCACTTGAACACAAGGACGGCGTTACCATGCCAACAGATCCAAGTGACTAACGGGAAGGTAGTGTCTACACTGTGGATACGCTGGGTAAAGGTCTGATTTGCATCCCAGGTGAAAGGGAGCAGGGTGATGTGAGATCCCATCACATGCTCAGAATGGCCTGCAATTTAAAACTTAGGGTTGTTCTGGAATCTTCCATGTAATATTTTCAGATTGCATTTGACTACTGGTAAGTGAAACCTCGACAAGTGAAATCTTGGATAAGGGGCGGACTCCTGTGGATGCTTTCCTCTGTATTCATCCTGTGTGGGCCTTACTGAGCTGGTTGGATCTGTGAGTTAATATCCAACATCAATTTTGGAAAATTCTCAGCCATCATCTCCACAAACATTTTTTCTATCCATCCATATTTTCTTTTTTGCTAGAATCCCGATTACAGGTATATTAGGCTTCTTACTGTCCTGTGTGTCTCAGTCTCCCAGGTTTCTCCTCTTTGCATTTGAGTTTGGGTCTGGCTTGCCTTTGGAGTCCCTGGTTCTGTCCTGTCTTTGATCTCTCTGCTCAAATTCCCCATCTGTTCT